ATAAGAAATTAACTTTTATGATTAATACTAAAATGAGTGTGGTAGAAATAGATATTAAATTAAACAAGCTAATGAAAGCCACATAACAATGTAATAATATTATGTATTGAATAATAGAATAGCAAAAATAAGGAATAAATAGAGAGAAATTAATCAAAACTTTTATCATAAAAAAAAATGATAAAACTGATTTAAATTAATATGTAATGATTATCTATAAATTTTATCTGGAAGGTTTATAATTTAAAGTTATTTATACATAATTCAAATAATCCAAATCAATCCGACATGATTTGTGTCAGCGCATCGCGCGGGTACTAATACTAGTTATTCATAAAAAGATCGCATTCCCTACCCCGGTCCTTCATCCCCCCCCCCCCTCCATAAATAGGTACTCCCTTTACTGAAGTATAGTATTTATTACCCTAAGAATTAATCATATTCCCTCTTTAATCAGTTAATCACGGAGCAGGAATCCATAGACTTCTTGTTTTTTTTTTTTTTTTTTTTTTTTTTTTTTTTTTTTTTTTTTTTGAAGTAAGAAGGTTTAAACAATCTACTGTTTCAAGTCGATGCATTTTTGTCTTTTTTTTTTGTATTAATTTATCTTCTCAAATAATCATTTTGTTGATTAATTCGTAGAAAAACGTCAAAGACTAGGAAACATAACATCTAAAAAGAAAGGATTCGTTTTCCTTTTTATTACAAAAAGGCCTAAAAGGTCCCAACTAATATTTTAGAAAAACAAGAAGTATCTATTACTAATTTTACTCTCTCTCAAATCTATCCTTTTGTTCTAATTAGTCATTATTAAGTGAGATGGGAGAGGTAAATGATATCCTGTTCAGTTGCTGAAAGATAGAGATCAGACTTTCTAACTGAGATTGAGTTCCACAAGTATACAAAGTAGAAAGATGTTATTTATTGCTATTCTATCTAATTGTGCATCGAGTTCAAAGAAGATCTCAATTTATAATGAAGAAATAATAGTAGGCGGCTTTTTTTATGAATATTCAACCAAAATTTCATCCATTACAGCTAGTGATTGCCCGGGTTAGTACCCTTCAGATTCTCTCTCCACTCATGCCGAATAACCCCGTCCAGTTCCGCCGAATAAGACTAGAAGCTGATTTAGGGAATTACGGGGCTTAAGTTACTTAGGGGGATAAAGTAGGAGCTCGCCCCCTACGTAACGGTACTTCCATGGTTTGCCTCTTGAGATTCTGTTTGAAAAGTAATTGCGAAAACCTGTCTAGATTGAGAATTTAATTCAGAGAGGTATATGAGAATATATTAAATGTTCTCCAAGAAATGTGTAGAATTCTAATAGACATAAGAGAGATTACGTATTCGCTTTTCTTCGAGAAAATTAAGTGCTATGAATTTAATGTATCTCCCATTTCTTTGTGCTAAAGAAATCATTTGGCACTGAAGTTTGTGCATTGAAGGTTTGGCTGTGAGTAGTGATCCAGGCTTTGAAACATATGTTGCTTGTAAGGCAAATATTTTTGTGGCCCATTGAAAACGTAAATGCAAGTGGTGTTTGTTGGGTTCCCGTAAAGCAATGGAATTTTGAGAAATTAATGTATTATATATTTTATCTCCATCTTTTATGGTATAGTTAATGGTCGGATCATAAATAATAGTAGTAGATAGTATGAAAGATAGAATCGTTTGGCAAGACGTTTGGGAAAGCTACACAATAAAGCGTTATAAAAAATAATAGCTGGTGAAATGTATATTTTTTTTATTTATAATAAAGCATAATATACAAAACATATTATATATTATTAGTATATATTTTTGTATATTGGCTAGCAAATAAAATTATATTTGGCCGACCAAATGAATATGTAACTTGCCCAAGACATTTAGTCATATGATATATGATCAAGGTAGACATTAGCTCCTTCAGCCGTTCTTTTGATTTTTCATCCATAGTTTTACTTGCTTATACCATCATAATATTACATTTATACTCCTTTGTATTTTACCATATTATTTTCAAATAGAAAACAAACACACACCACACGAGCGTATATATATGAAGCTAGGAATAAAAAAGGTGATGTGGCACATCTTATTGCTCAAGGAAGTGCTTTATCTTTTTTCTCCTTTTTTTGCTTTTTTCTTTTTTTTTTTTTTAAATCCAAATTCTCTTATCCAGGTAGACGTATTACATATGACCTATTATCATTGAAAGGAATATGAAACTGATGCTTTTGTTAATCTCATTTATTACATCCCATCATAATCTCTCAATAAATAGCATACATCAGTTACAAAAAACCTCTCACCTATTGGTTTTCCTCAATTAAATAAATTTCCATGGCTTCACCCATCTCTATATAATAATAATCCCACATCTAAATTTTTTTCTGTAAGCAACACAACTACTTCTGTGTAATATTCATGCATAAATGAGAGAAAGAGTCCCAATAATGGTTGCTACTTTTGCAAGTTGTAACCTTTCACTTTCATATTTATGGAGAAAAAGAAATACTACAATCTCATGTAGTTAGCAGAGACTTATAAATATACTACAAATATCTGCCTTCGTATTTTGCTTTACTATCTTTCCTTTTCGGGTTTTGTTCATTTGTTAACTTATATGTTGAAATTAGATTATTGGACTTGCAAGACTGATCCTGAATATGCATATATGCCTTTTTTTAAGTGTAGTAAAATTGATGATACGAGCAAATTAAAGTTCCCTCTTGTAATCATTTTATTTTATTTGTATTCCTTCTATCTTTATTTGAATCAAGTGGGTTCTGAACTATGTAAAAATTAAAGTTTGATGAATCGGTTTATGTAGTCAATATGTATGTTCATTATTTAGCCTAAAAATGTCTATTTGCTTAAAGAAATACTATTCAACTACTTTATGGACTAACATTTTTTTTATGAAGCAGAAGATGAATGGAGTCAACA